ACTTGAATATGTATTTAATTTCCCCCACCCCCTGCCAATGGTGGCAAATTTTGTGAATTGTCTTTCTCTCTTCCCCTTATCTGGCTCTAAAATCTTTTGCTGCCCAACCTGACTTTGTAGTTCTGATTTTTACTTGTTTATGATTGGTTTTGTTCTTGCCTTTTGTTATATATATATATATTATATATATAGTTATTATTTTTTAATGTTCTGTTTCTCCCTCCAGGCCAGTATAAAGGGACTTGAAGTATTTTTTAAATAATCTCCCCTAAATGAATTTCAGAAGTGCCATTCTGATTTAAGTGTTTTATTTTTAAAAATCACTTTATTTGCTCGTTCCCAGCACTGATTATCTCCATAATCCATTAGGACAGAACGGTTTGCAGTCATTCATATCCTGTAATTAGGTAATTGAATCGTTAGCTCTCAGCAGTTGCCCTGAAGCAAGTGGAAACAGCTCTAGGCAGGCAGTGTTCTGGGGTCAACGGGAAAGTGTAAAAACAGGAGGCTGAAGGTACTGTGATGGATTTAAAAGTGGCCACCTTATTAAATAGGGTTTGTATCAATATTAAAATTAAGACAATCTTTCCAACTTTGGGAGTTTCATTAGCTGTTTTAATCGTATGTTTTTATCATTTTGTAGGTTTGTGTTCTCATAATCTTTAATTTGAAACTCTTGTGTCCTCGTGGATGTCTTCATTTTTTGAGTGCAGATACTTAAATGGCTGCAATCAGTAGAGTGAACCGTGAATGGCATACATGCACCTCCTTTTCTTGGCCTTGGATCAATAGGTCTGGGATTGTGGCCATCTCCTCAGTCCTCAAAAAGAGGCTGAATCAATGTGGTCATGAGTGGGAACTTAAATCCAGAGCCCAATGAAGAACTTGACTGTCTGATCAAATGTGTTGGTTGGGCCTCCCATGGAGTTATAAAGCATCCAACAAACATGAAAAATGTAGAACTCCAAGGTACAAGAAGAAAAGCAATGATGTTTCTGAAAGTGATGATAAATAATTACTTTTAAAGTGCTGCATATTTATACAATTGAGAGATTATTTTTGTAGATGCAATGTCTGTGAGCTGGGATACGTGGGCAGTGCTTCAGGCATTTAAAAATCACTTTTTACTCCTAGGGAGATGCCAATAAACAGAACTTTCTTGTTTTTTCTGAGTCCTTATACATTTGTTTTATTTTTTCAAGTTTGTGTTTCCTCTTGAAACTATACATATTTATTATAAAATCTTAATCTCTTGAACACAATTATGCTCTCTATAGATGAGGGAAACTCAACACTAATTCTGGTTTCTGGAACCTTCATGCTCTCCACTTCCCCCGCCCCCCCCCCCTCCGTTTGCCAGTGACTTTAACATAAGTAATGATGTTTTTAAATGCGGATATAATTTGTGGTGTTTAAAATGATATTTTCTACTAGGTCAGCTCAAAAAACTTCTCCAATAAAATTTTACTTTTCTTTTACTATTAGCAGTTTATTTATATAGTCCTACTTATTTTTTTAATCGACATATATTTGTGTGCCTTCGCTTAGGAAAACTCACTTACTTGAACATTTTCAACCTAGAAAGACCATTATAAATACCTGACTAGGAAGGTTTTGAAATTAGAAAGACATATCCATATTTGGCAATCAAAAAAGAAACATTTCAGGTTTATCCCATATCGCCTTCTCCAGGCAGTCTGCACAGAGCAATTGACAACTGAAAACATAATTATAAAATCCAAACTTCCAGATGCAATTTTTAGACACTAGAACCTTCTGTTTGAGGCCTTTTTGCCACTCACGGAAATGGCCGCTGAGGAACTGGATGACTCGTCAAGGTTAGCTCCCCACACAATCATCTCAGCGGTTGCTAACGTTTTCGTGTGTAAGTTACATACTGATATTTAAAACTTCACTTAATGTGTAAACTCTCCTGGTGGGAGGGTTCCCTCACGATTTTGTGAGAGAAACCGCAGAGACCTAAGGCTGGGACCTACTTTCGTTTTCTCTGCCCCAGCTCGATTTCTTTCATATCTTACTGGCGAAAGTGGACTGCCAACAACTTTGTTTTTGAGGGGGAGGGACAGAGAGAGAGAGATTTGATCACGATTCAATCTCTGCAGAAGAAATAACCCATGTACATGGGGCCAAGCCGTTTCCAACCTTACACTTCGGGAAGTATAGTTAGCATTTTTGTGGTTTTTCTCAAAAGATGTGTTTTCAGCAGAAACGGGCTTTTTTTTTTTTCTTTGAGTCCCAGACTCCAGAGCTTCACTCCATTTCCTAGGTCTATTTCTCGGGTTTCCCGTCTTGGGTAGGAGAGATTGCCTCGAGGTTTTCCTTCCATCTCAAGTTTTCACCTTAGTTCTCCCGCTCCTCCCCCCAAGAGAAATGAGAGATTTGCTGAAGATTAAAACTGTGCTCCAATGCTCTCCGGCGGAATCTGGATTGAGGGCTAAATCAATAACAGAAGAAGGCTTTGTTATTTATATGATTTCCTTTGCATTCCAAATTGCGGAGAAAGGAGAGGAACTGATAAGTAGCGGAGGCACTGGGAGTGAGGCCCTCGGGGAGCCCGGGACGCTAAGGGGGCTTGGAGAGAGGCCTCTACTTCTGCTGGAGACAGGCCGCAGGGAAAGCGCCTTAGAAACTCGGCAGATTTTTAGCGCCGCGGGTGGGGGACTGAGGGTCCAGTGTCTATGCGTGATTCTAGCGGCGAAGGAAGCATTGGAGCCGGGACCCACGGCCAGACAAAGGGGCGACTGCAATGCTTCCTCGCCTCTGGCAACCTCCTGGTCCCTTCGGCTCGGCTGTCAGGCGCGGCCCTGCCGCCAAGATATCCGGCTTTCGGAGGCTCTCGGCTGTGTCTGAAAGCGGGCGGTGACGGCGCGGGCTGGCGACCCCAGGGCGGCCGCACCGCCCTTCACTGTTGATCTTGACCGTGCGGCTGCGCCTCGGTAGGCATGGAGCGCGCTCGCCATCTCCTGGGCGTTGGGCGGCATTGGCAGAGCTCGTTGTTGCCTCCTCAGCCAAATCCTTTTCCATTCTCTCAATCACCAGCCAAGCCACCTACTGCCGCTACTTTCCACCCCTACCCTCCCTTGCTCGGAGTCCCCAGCTCGCATAAGACTTTGCCAGACCTCGAAAGTCATAAACCCGGGAGATGAAGTGGAACGGCTGGGCAGGGAGCAATGGAGGGAAAGTAGTTGTTCTTGTCTTTCCTGTTTCTCACTTAGTTCTATTACGCCTTTAGTCCTGAGGCGCAAACAGCTGCTGTAGGGCTGCCTAAAGCTCCGAAGGAGACACCCCTCGGCTTGGAAATAACGAGGAATCTTCATGCACTGAAACGTGAGGAGCAGAGATTGCAGGGACCCCTGAAGCTGGAGCTTTCGGGAGTAACGAAGCTGCAGCTCCTCGAAAATAGAATGAGTTCCCCAAAATAAGAGTTTTTAGGGTTCTGAGGCTTGTGTTCCCTTAAGTACCTAGGAACTGGGGTTGCAACTTGTGCTTGCCGCCACCCCCCAAGAGAGGACGCGAGCAAGTGCCTGAGCTCCTAAAGAAACGCTGGCAGAGCCAGAGAAGCCCCAGACGTCCCCACCCCCACGTCCTCACCCCCACCTCCCCCCGCCCCCGCAGCAGGAGGAAGAGGCCGATTGCGTTCCCCAGAGCCACCCAATTGGTCGCCATAACTCACACAATAAAGTCGCAGAGAGGTGGTCAGCCTTGCCCTCCGGCGGCGCCTGTGTGGTCTCAGTGCGGGAGTCGGCGGTCTAACCAATTCCAGCTTGGCTTGGGGACCGAGGGGCCTGCTTCAGGCTGAGACTGGCGCAGGTCACCGGGTCTTCAAGGGTCTTGGGATCCGAGGCAGGAGGGGAGAATCCCTAGTCCGCTGGCCGGACTAGGCAAGAGGACCTGCGGCGGGGTCTGAGCACAGCGCTCTCCGCTAGGAACTGCTGCCCTCCCCACTTCCCTGTTTGTCAGACCCTTTAGCTCCCTAGCCCCGACACCCCTGGGGGAGCTAAGGCCGGGAACTCTGCTAGCCAGCTGCCTCAGAACGCCGCTATTCCCAGGCCAGGTGGTTCTGGCTTTTACGCCTTTCCACACCCAGTCTCCAGAGTACGTCCTGCTCTGCCCTTCACTGGGTAGTTGGGGACACCTCGGAGTTCTGGTTTGAGGTGTGCAGTACCGGAGAGGACTCCAGACGATAAAAGGAATGTAGCCTTTGGCCACGATGGGTGGATCGAGCTGCTGGGTTCCCTGGCGGACATTCTCCATGGACCTGGATGGCAACTTCCCCTAGGATCAAAGTTCTTAGCCATGGGAACAAACCAGGAGTAGTGTGGCCTCCTTCCTAGATGCCAAACTTGGGCAGAGTTTGTGATGCCCTTTTCGTGTCTGCGGCCTGGGACAGAGAGCTCAAGCAGCGAATGGGTCTTTGCTGCCAGATTCCCCAGGCAGAGATCTCTGGAGAAAGCCTTTCTATGGGAGTGATTGGGGCAGGAGTGACATTGTCAATCCCAGGGACAGAGCTCGTGGTGCCGCCGGACCGCGCCCTCTCCGGACAAGTGGACAGGCGCTGGTTAATGGAAAATGCCTCCGCTGCCGCTTAAAGCCGGTAGAAGCAAGTTGGGCGCAGAAAGCCTGCGGAAAAAAGGATCACAAAGCCAATCACCACCACCAAGAGTCCCAAGGGACACTTGGGCAAAGGCACCCTCTTGCCTGATGCCCCCAGCTCCTGAAGCCGGGCCTGGAAACCCTCAGAGGCTTAGTCTTCGCTCAACATGATTTGGCTCTTCTAGCAGCCTCGTCCTTCGCCATAGAACATTGCGGGTGTTATCATAGTACTCTGAAGGGGGGGAAAACGGGTCGGGGGGAGGTAGGCGGTGCTGAAATGACCGGCTTTGAAGAACCTGCAGGCAAAGTTTCGTCCAATCGTCTGAGCCTGTCCTCTTATTCCCGGTTGTAACTAAATACTGTTGCGAGCGCAGCCGAAGCCCTTTGTTGGAGATGTGTGAGCGCAGTCTCTACAGAGCGGGCTACGTGGGCTCGTTTCTCAATCTGCAGTCGCCAGACTCTTTCTACTTCTCCAACCTACGGCCGAATGGCGGCCAGTTGGCCGCACTTCCCCCTATCTCCTACCCACGCGGCGCGCTGCCCTGGGCCGCCACGCCCGCCTCCTGCGCCCCCGCGCAGCCTGCGGGCTCCACTGCCTTCGGCGGCTTTTCGCAACCCTACTTGGCCGGCTCCGGGCCTCTCGGCCTGCAGCCCCCAACAGCCAAGGACGGACCTGAAGAGCAGGCCAAATTCTATGCACCCGAAGAGGCCGCTGGGCCAGAGGAGCGCGGCCGTACCCGGCCGTCCTTCGCCCCCGATTCTAGCCTGGCCCCTGCAGTGGCTGCTCTCAAAGCGGCCAAGTATGACTACCCAGGTGTTGGTCGTGCCGCGCCGGGTTCCGCGACCCTGCTCCAAGGGGCTCCCTGCGCTCCCGGCTTCAAGGACGACACCAAGGGCCCGCTCAACTTGAACATGACAGTGCAGGCGGCGGGCGTTGCCTCTTGCCTGCGACCTTCACTGCCCGACGGTAAACGGAGCCCAAGCTCCCCGGGCCGGTTTGGGCCGGGATGGGAGGTGGGGTTCAAGGGAGAGTGTAAGGGGAGGTGAACCGCCTGGGGGCGGGCAATCTACAGAGAACGGGCTGGGCTGACGTGGGTCGGGGCTGTGTTGCAGGCCTGCCGTGGGGGGCGGCCCCGGGGAGGGCCCGCAAGAAGCGGAAACCCTACACGAAGCAGCAGATTGCGGAGTTGGAGAGCGAATTCCTCGTCAACGAATTCATCAACCGTCAGAAGCGCAAGGAATTGTCCAACAGGCTGAACCTCAGCGACCAGCAGGTCAAAATCTGGTTTCAGAACCGGCGTATGAAGAAGAAGCGCGTGGTGCTGCGGGAGCAGGCGCTGGCGCTCTACTAGCCGCGCGCGTGGCCAGGGCTGGGCCTGCCCTTTTGGACAGAGGCCTGGTGTGGGGAGGAGGAACTGGGGCTAAGGCTTTTCCTTCGGTTCCTTCTCCGCCGGTCCCGAAGCCACGAAGAGATTTAGACACCAGGCCAGCTAGGCCTCCTTGCTTTCCTCCGTCCCTGAGAAGCCTGGGAGAAAGTGAGGAAGTTCCAATGCAACGCTGGCCTTAAGGCTTCCACGTGTGGGGTCTGAGGCCACCTCTCCCTGCTCCAGGCTGGGGCATTTGCACCCACGGCTCATTCTTGCTCCCTGGTACCTGGATTTTTCTGTTTCCGTCCAATTCGTTCTCTTTCCCCCTCTCTCCAGCCCCTTCAGCATTTAGCAGTCGCCTAGATAGGGCTCAGAGGGAAGGCCTCCTGAGGGAATGGAAAGGACTGTGGGTACAATTAGGTCTCTGCAGCAGAAGCCCTTTGTGTCAAGGCCAAGATCTTCACTCTGAAAAAAGGAAAAGGCACCATACAACGGATACCTTCCTGTCTGCCCTGGCTGATTTGAGAGGACAAAAGCCACACTAGACCTTCAGACTTTGGGAGGAAAAAAGAGAGAAGGGGAGGAGCTGGGTGGTGGGGCAAACTTGGAGATATCTCAAAATGCGAAATGCGAGGTAGGCTGGCCCCTCCAGCTGGGTGGAATAGGGTGGAGCTTTCCTTCCCTGAGATGGGATGAAAGAGACCGAGGCTCCAGACAAAGTGCAATCTCCAGACAAGACTGGCAAACATTGCTATACTCCCACCTCCTCATACAAGCCTAGGCCAGGCGCATGAACCCTGTAACTGGATCCCCAGAGCCTAGCTCTGGTGAAAGGAGCTGCTGGTCTGCTTTGAAGCTGTGGCACAGGGAGGAGGGAAAGATATCCTGGGGAGGAGAAGGGAGTGAGCAAGAGGAGGAGGGTGCTACACTCCAGCTATAAATATGGCTTTCCAGGTGAGGTGAGTAAAGGTATCGACACATCTGTCTTTCTTGATTAACCTTAATGGACCCCCACAAGGACAGGCAAAAGATCCTTCTCAAGGGTCATGGGGTGGGACAGGAGATCTCTTAGATTCTCAGCTCCTGCTAGCTGCTCTTGACAGAGCAAAGAGGACCAGAAGTTCCTCTCACCGTCTCCACCATCCGCCAAATCTACCAGTGGCCCAGCTACTGTGCCCCTTCTGAAGCATGTCTGGCTTGTCCCAGTGGCGACTTTGAGGCCCTGGGCCCTGCCAGGCTTGCCTCATGGAGGCAGGAGTTCCCAAATGCAAGGTAGAATTGTTCTGGGTGTGCTGGAGTGTCCAGCCTTAATCTCAGTGAACCCAAGCCTCCCCCTGCTAGCTTATTCTACTATCCCTGCCTCTTCTGCCTCTCCTTCAGACATGCAGCACCCTCCTCCACAACTCCTGGCATGATGTACAACAGCCCAAGGATTCAGGATTCCTTCCCAAAATCCAATGATTTCTTTTCAGTGGAGGACCTGGCCCTAAACCTGGCGTGGGCACCTCACAGAGAGCCTGGAGCCTTAGCTCGGCTGACTTCAGTTGATGTCTAGACTAATTTCATTTTCTAGGCTATCTAATTGTTATCATGTATGTTTTGCTTTGATTTTGTTAAAAACAATAGCTTGTATATATCAGACACAATATATACAAATGTTTTGAGTGAAAATAAATATCGAGGTCTGAGCCAAGCTGTCAAGGGACTGATGTCAGTTTTTCAAAATGTTTTGGATTCCCCTCTAACATTTTTCAGGTCACCAAATTATTTTTTCTTTTCTGGTTGTTGTTTCACCGCGGGTGTTGACTGTTCGTTAAATGAGAAAATGGCTTCCAAGGCGGTCAGGAAATGGTGTGTAAAAGCCTACCAACAAAATATGTTTGGAATATCAAAAAGGGAAGAACCATGACAGATCTGCGTGTGTATCACACAATAGGGGGACTCTCCGCTTGTTGCAGGCTGGGACTTCTGCGCTTAGCCTAGATTCTCAAACTTTAAAGCTTACTGTTATTGGTGGACTGTAAAGATTTGAGGTTCCTCAGATTGAAAAAAAAAAAAAAAAAAAAGGTCTGTCTTCACCAAGCTTTGGTCTGGCTTCTCTGGAACCAGCTATGTCCTGCTAAATCCTTGATGCCAGCAGGTTTACCAGGAGCCCAGCAGACTCCCTTGGGAAATGGGGCCTCAAGACTCCCTAGTCCATATGAACCTCTAGCTCAGTCGGGGAAAGCCAGGGCCTGCTTACTACTCATCTTGTTGCAAACCACAGCTCCTAGCTGGTGGAGGTGGAAACTAGCTTTTAGCTAGAGGGAGAATTAACAAAATCACTAAATCACTAACACTGAATATTCAACATTCCAACTCCCCTTCCTTCCCAGAAGCGAATTTGGTGTATAATTAAATTTTTAATTGTTCTTTGCTTACAAACACATCTATATATACAATATATGTGTATATATTCAATGGGAGAGAAAGAGGCAAGAGCTGCCAAGGCCTATGGCTCAAAAAATTTCCCCACCTGGCTGGGCACATAGAGGCCATGATCTCCAAGTCTGAGTCTGCATTCAGAGGTTTGCCTCCTCGAAAACAACTGAACAAAGGCGGAAGCCTCCCTGAGCCCTCCGAAGGCTGGGGAAAGGAGGAGGAAAGCATAGTACTCAGACTCAGGCCTTAAGACAGACAACGCAGAGGCTTTTTTTCCAAAATATATCATTAAATCATCGTGTTCTTTCCCTTTAGCCTGGGATGAGTGGGGGGAGTGGATATTCATGGAGATCACTCCTCAAAGAAAATTAAATTATTCTAAGTATAAAAGCATATTTCTTGGTTCAGCAGTTTTTTCCAAATCTATCCCTTTTACTAGTTCACACAAATACAAAGACTCTTGGTCTCCTTCCACAACACTGGTTCCGGCAGAGATCTGGAACCACTAGGAAATTAGTAAGAAACAAATGCTGAAGAGAAGGACGCTAAAATCTGAGTGCTCAACATTCCCTGCAGAAAGACAAATGCGTCCTCTGAAATGCTGCAGTCCAAGCAGGCCTCTTGACTAAGAAAACGGTTTTAAAAGCAGAAAAAAACGGCTTAGTCTGGCATTCAATCAGTTGCGAACTCAGAGGGTGGCGGGGGAGGGGGGACACTTTTAAGGCTTGGGGGTTCTCCCTAAGGGAGGCGGGCCGGGGAGGCTTCCGGGATGCCGGCGGGTGGAAGAGAAATCCGGAATCGTTGTAAATATTCATGTGTGTGGGGGGGAGGGATGCCCCTTCACCCGCCTCTCCCAACTGCATTCCCCTCTCAGTGATAGTGGGGGAAGGCAAGGCGCCTGCCCCACTGTCCTAAGACAAAGGTGATCTCCCCATATTTTTGTTCTCCAGTCGCTTGACTTAAGAAGTCCATTCCGAGGGCTCTTCAGGGAAGGAACTGGCTCTGGGTGTTTTCCCTGCGTTTCTCTTCTTTCGTTTCTTAAAAGAGCATAAATAATTAAAGTTTGGCAGAGAGGAAAAGCTTTCTTGCAGAACTGTAGTGGCAATAAATGAAATGACTCAGAATCCCTTCCCCAGTCAGCTTTTACGAGAGCTGCCAGACAGTGTCTGTTCACGTTCTCCAGATACCAGGGGCGCCCTGACAAAGTTAAGGTCAAGTTAGTGTCTTATCTTGGGTGGCTCAAAATCACCGCATAGCGTCCCGGCGCTGTGCGGAAAGCTCTTTCTCGCGGAGCTGCTGGCTGCGCCCCGAAGGCCTGGTGCGCCTACGTTTCGGGTGGGGCCACGCAGGCAAGTACAAGGCCACAGAGCCGGGCGGGGTCTCCACGGTAGGTTCTCGAGCGGGATGCCCGGGTCCGGAGGCTGCGGTTTTCCCTGGGTTTGGGGAATAGGGGCAGGAACTAGAAGGGAGCTAGGGCCAAAGAGCCTAGCGGGCTGGGACTGGAACGAGAGCGTTCTGGTTTGGGGAGTGAGGAGTGGGGGGCAAGGGTCCATGCTAAGGAGCCGAGAGGTGCCCGCCGCCCCTTCCCCTGTGCACCGGCCCGCCGCTCCAGATGGCTCACCCTCCCCCGCCACACCGCTGCTCCAGCCGGAGCTGCCGTCGCCATGTCGTTGAACTTGAATGGTTCGTCCTCCCCAGATCCCTCTTCGGCGGTCAGCAGACTCCACTTTGGGGGCGGCGGGCTGCCGGCGCCCCACTCCGTGCCCCCGGTAGAGAGAAGGTTCGAGAATTTTGCGAACCCCCGGACACATAAAGACCCGGATTGAAGTCCCCGCCGCTGCCCTGGGTCCTGAGCTACCGCAGGGCCGGTGGTGCAGAGTCCGGGGAGCCATTTTAGGAGAGAGATTCAGGGGCGTCGACCACGAGCGAGCCCGAGCCCGAAAGGGAGAGGCTTGGGCATGGGATGGAGGTGGGGAGGCAGATAAGTGTGCTGGGGGTCTGTGTTGAGGAGAAGGATGCCAGCTGAAATCTGGGCGGGGGTGCCAGCTGTGGGGAGGGGGCACACAGATGGGTAGTTCTAGTTGGGGGAGGCTCGGTGCCCTCCAGTCGCCACAGACCTATTTTCGCAGTGTTGGGGGAGGGAAGCGGACTGGGAAGGGGCGGAGGAAGGAGAGAGGAAGGGAGAAAGGGAGGGAGGAGAAAAAGAGGAAGGGGGGGACATCAGCCAGAAAATAGATATTAGCTCAGACCACCCGCCTTTTCTCTGTCTGTCCGCAAGGTGGGCAGAGCGCACAGCACCGGCATTGCAGCGGCCCGGGCCAGGGAGGGAACCAGCATCACAGCCAGCGCCGCCTGCCCTGGATATAGGACTGAGGCCCAGGCCCCAGTGCTGGGATTGCCTGGGCGGAGGAATCTTGGGGAAAGAGGCAGCCTCCTGTCCTCGGTTGCGGGATTTGGGTTTGGGAAGAGACGTTTACCTTTGAAAAGCGTCTGCTCTCTAGGAGGTGGGAGCCCAGGTCTCGCCTGGACCCATGGGCTAGGAGAGGGTCGCGGCAGGCTGGGAGGAGAGTGAGGCCTTGGGGGAGTGGATGGGGTGCCCCACGAAGAGTCCGCCTCAGTGCGAGGTGACACAGAGGGGCTCCAGTTGGGGAGTCAGGCGCCGCTGAGAACCCGCAGAGAGGCAACCTATCTTGAGGGGAGGGGCTGAAGTGACCGTGCCGACCCAAGGGTGCCAAAGGAACCTCGGGGAAACGCGGTGCGGATACACAGGCTTTGCCGGGGCTCCAAAGCAGTGAAGGGTCTGGGTGTAAGGCGGACTAGTCCCAGGCCAGGCCTGAAAGCAGAAGGGGTGAGAAGGTCGGAGGTGCGAGTGGTGGGGGGGGGGGGTTGTCTTTTGCGGGGGGGGGGGGCGGGCAGAGGGAAGCCGGGCACCACGAGAGTAGGACTTCAGATCCTTTTGTTCACCAGACTCCCCAGATTCTAGGGAGGCCTGAGACCACGGACTGAGCTCCCTCTTGCCTTTAGTGCTGAAGGGGAAGGGAGACGCAACAGAGAGAGACAGAGACAGTGACACACAGCTTAGGGGAAAGGAGGGGAGAGGATGAGAAAGCAGAGAGAGACAGAAGAAAGGAGACAGGAAAGCAAGTGGAAGAAAGAAGGAAAGCAGAAAAGGAGGGGAAGGAGGGAAGTGAAGACAAGAGAGAAGGGAGAAGACTGAAGAGAGACCAAGCAAGGAGAAAGAAAGACAAGAACAGAGAGGGAAACCAGAGAGGAGGGAAGAGAGCCAGGTGGGCACGAAGGCCCTGGCCTGGGTGAGTGTCTAGGAGGTGAGTGGCCTGGGTTTTCCGAAGCCAGCACTAGCACCCCTGGGGTCAGAACCGGAAAGAGCCAAGTTACTCCTCGCTTAACGCGCTGGGCAGAGAAATATGTAAATCAGGGCTCCCTGCGCCCTGGAGAGTAGCGCAATTACTACCGGTGAACAAGAAGCAACAAGCTCTCAGGCGGGTGAGCTGCAGAGGGTGGCAGAGTCGCGGGGGAGGGAGCGGCTGCAGTAAGGGGGGTGGGTTTCGGAACCTCACACCCTCACACCTAGTCCCTAGCTTCTAGGGAGCCTGGAGCCGGGGCTCCCCCCTCTTCTTGCTGCTTCTTTCCCTTCCCCCTTCCTCCCCCTCCTCCCCCTCCTTCCTCCTCCCCGTCGGCCTCGGTCCGCGTACTTAAAGCCGCGCGGGCGGACGGACGCGGGCGGGCGGCCCGGTCGGGCGGTGGCAGATGCGCCCAACGGTGGCAGCGGCCAGCGGCGCGCAGGTGACCGGCCTGAGGCGCAGCCTGGTCAGGGAGCGCCCAGGGAGAGCTGGAGGGAAAGGGCAGCCGATCCGCCCCCATCGCGCGCGTCTCGGCGCCAGGAGCCGTCCCGGGGCTTGTTGGCGAGCGCTGATATAGATATAAGGACATTTCTCTTCATGGCGTCACGTGACATAATTACCACCAGAATCAATCAAGATGAATTGCACGTCAGCGCCCGGTGGGGATTTTTGCTTAGTTGATCCTGGCCCAAGCCTCTTGTGCAATCGATGGCTCAGGTTGGCTGCGCCGGGAGCGGCCAGGGGCTCGCCGGCGCGCACGCCGCGGAGCCATGAACGACTTTGACGAGTGCGGCCCGAGCGCAGCCAGCATGTACCTGCCGGGCTGCGCCTACTATGTGGCCCCGTCTGACTTCGCTAGCAAGCCATCGTTCCTTTCCCAACCGTCGTCCTGCCAGATGACTTTCCCCTACTCTTCCAACCTGGCGCCGCACGTCCAGCCGGTGCGCGAAGTGGCCTTCCGCGACTACGGCCTGGAGCGCGCCAAGTGGCCGTACCGCGGCGGCGGCGGCGGCGGCAGCGCGGGGGGCGGCAGCAGCGGGGGCGGCCCCGGCGGGGGCAGCGGTGGCGCTGGGGGCTACGCTCCCTACTACGCGGCAGCGGCGGCGGCAGCGGCGGCGGCAGCGGCGGCCGAGGAGGCAGCCATGCAGCGCGAGCTGCTCCCGCCCGCCGGCCGCCGGCCGGACGTGCTCTTCAAGGCGCCTGAGCCGGTGTGCGCTGCGCCGGGGCCGCCGCACGGCCCCGCGGGCGCCGCCTCCAACTTCTACAGCGCGGTGGGCCGCAATGGCATCCTGCCGCAGGGCTTCGACCAGTTCTACGAGGCGGCTCCTGGGCCCCCGTTCGCCGGGCCGCAGCCCCCGCCGCCGCCCGCGCAGCCACAGCCCGAGGGTGCAACCGACAAGGGCGACCCCAAGACCGGGGCTGTTGGAGGAGGGGGCAGTCCCTGCGCCAAGGCGACCCCTGGCTCGGAGCCCAAGGGGGCAGCAGAAGGCAGCGGTGGCGACGGCGAGGGCCCCCCGGGGGAGGCGGGGGCCGAGAAGAGCGGCGGCGCAGGTAGGCACCGGGCGCCGGGCGAGCGGTGGGCCTGGGGGCCGTGGGGGCGGGGGGGCGGCGGGGGCCTCCCTCTGCTTGCGCCGTTTTATGTGCTACTTTATAAGCATTCGAAGAGGTTTATACATCCTATAAGATTTCCCCGGCAGTTGTAAAGCGTGTTTATGATAGGAAACCAATTTAGGTGGGCTTAAGGTAGACTTCGAGGAGGACATTAGTCGCTATAGAGAGCTTTTCCCCAGTTTTGGGCAGGGGGGTGCTAGAGACCATGGAGGGAGGGAGGAAGAGTTCAAGCCAGTGAGAGTGCGTACACCGAACCTCTTGCTTTTAAGGGAGAGAGGTGGGGGTGGGGTGGGGGGAGTTTGCTCCTTGCACTGGACTTTATCCAAGCTGCTGGCTGACGCGCGCCGCTGGAGTCAGGCAGATGCTCCAGAGGGCACGCTCACGTCTCTCTTCCCTCAGGTTCCAGTTCAGAGCCTGCCTTGCCCTCTGCTTCCCCACCTCGGTGCCAGGCTACGTGTGTGTGTGTGTGTGTGTGTGTGTGTGTGTGTGTGTCCCGGGCGTGAACACATGTCCACGCCCGCACTCTCTCCTGTGCCCGCCCATATATCATTCCCCACGACGCAGGCAGGGCCTTTCAGCCGCGGCAGAGGACGTTCCCAACGAGGCCAGGGCCTCGCCCTCGTTCAGTGGCCGGGGCGGGAGGTTGAGGGCTGGCAAGAAGCGGCCTCTCTCACCCCTTGGTCTCTTTGCCTTGCAGTGGCCCCCCAGCGGTCCCGGAAAAAGCGCTGTCCCTATACCAAGTACCAGATCCGCGAACTGGAACGCGAGTTTTTCTTTAACGTGTACATAAACAAAGAGAAAAGACTTCAACTCTCTCGGATGCTCAACCTCACTGACCGGCAAGTCAAAATCTGGTTCCAGAATCGCAGGATGAAAGAAAAGAAACTGAACAGAGACCGTCTGCAGTATTTCACTGGAAACCCCTTATTTTGAGAGCTCCAGGAAGCGCCCCCTCCCCCCGCCCCACTCACCCACTGTCCTCCCCACCAGCCTGCCCTCCGCAGGCCCAATGTCCTTGGGTTTAATGACGCCTCTTCTCTGTGGAACTTCACGATTCCTTCCCACGGTCAACTCGGGACCTCCCAGCGACCACTGCAGCCTGCGGACGAGGCCGGGACTTGGCCGAGCGGATCCTAATAAGGGGAAAATGGTAAATGCAAACGTCCCTTTACAATTTTACCGCCAATATGCTGTTGTTTCCCCCTCCCCCTCTCCCAGTCCTCTTGGGCACGCCGCGGGGTCTTTAGGAAGTTAGGCCGGGGGACTAGAAGGCGCTGGTGTTTTGCTCTGAGTTTTAAGAGAGCCCTTCCTTCCTATTCAGTGAACGCAGATTATTTAAACTTTGGGAAATGTACCTTTGGTCTGTCATATCAAGGCGTGAGTCACTGTCTTTTTGTGTGAATAAATGGTTTCTAGTAAAATGGAGGTTACAGCTTCAATACACTGTATGAATTCTCCTCTTTGAGGTTTAGTGCCTAATTAGGATATTTTAGTGGCCAGAACCCCTGCAACTGAAAACCGAATGAAATACCTTTTAATCCCTCTAAAATAGGAGTCGTTCCCTCCCATCACCTCTAGGCTACATTGGTTTTAAAATCATGTTAGTGATGAATTTCTGAATTGACGATATGACCAAGCAATGTTGGCGCTGCCTTCTTCAGGCAATAAGCCTGGAGCAGCAGGAACCTAAGAAACAAACTCCCACCCCCACCCCTAGTCTAGTGAACTTGGGATTTCTGAAAAGACAACAACCATTTTTAAAAACTGGTTAGAAAATCCAAATTATCTCTTACGAGGAGCCACAGTCCCTTAAAAGAAGAAACCAAAATTAGAACCCTCCACTGAAGGGAGAAGTTTTCAAAAAGGAAGTTATCAGTGGGTGGAGAGAGCTTGTGGTCCTTGCTGGTTCATAGTGGAGCTGAAGCAGGGAAGGTAAACCCTCCCCACCCCCACTGAAATGGGGCCAGGAGCTGCAGACCCTCTCGCGGCATTTATCGCTTCAAGTTAAAGAATGTGGTGAGGGCTGCACTGCACTTTATGTTTCAGGGCCAGGCCAGGCTGTTTACAAAACCTTGAACTGTCTAGACAATACCATAAAAGTCAAAGTTCTAAACAGCTTAATTGGGTTATATTATACACCTTCTGGTGGGCCCAAAAGAGATTTCCGCAATGTGCAATAAACTGGAGAAGTGAGAAAAGCTTCTCTCTCTCTCTGAAAAGAGTGAGTGAATCTTATGACTCAACCTATCCTAAGTCCAAAGACAAAATATAAATCTATAAGTGCAGAGTACCCCATGCATCTTTCAAGGAGTCATGCAATTTGAAATGCAATTTTTAAAAATTGCTAAGCCTTATTTGGGAAGGAAAAAATAAGTGCATAAATGTATGCCTTTGAACTTCCAAAATGTCAAGGTCATCACCTTTAACCTTTCTGAATAATTAGGCGCCTTAAGGTTCTTCTTGATTTTCAGCTGCCACCCACTCTCACACGTATCCAGACCCACACATACATTTATGACCACACAGAATAATACCAGGAACTCACCATAAATCTAAGAAAATTCCTAATTTCAGGATCAATAACCTTAATTTCCCTGCAAACGTTAGTGTAATGCAAAAGCAGTCAACTTCTTTTTAAAATATTGGTTAGACTAAAATGCCTGCTAGCTGTTTTCACTACAGCTAGGAAATGCTGAGGATTTTTTTGGGGGGGGGGTCTTAAATTGTGGTGCCCTTTGCTTTAATGAAGAACTGTAGTTTTAAAATCAGGTATTTGAAGGAGGAAGTTCTGTGCAGCTTTACACCTTCATTAAATTTGAAAGCAATTTGCCACCTGTGAAATAGATTATTGCACTTTCTATAATAAGGAACAAAAGAAAATATAGTTATATTGCCTTTAAAAGCATCCTTTGGTGAAAGATGCAATGGGAACAAAGCCTACAATCGAAAAATTTCGTTAAGAAGGGGATTCCTTTGTTTGGAATTCTAGGTATCGGTTAAAACATCAGTGCCCTAACAGTATGATCGTTTCAGTAGCTTAAACTGTTTTTTTCCGCTTTCTGTTTCCACCTATTTTTTAAAACTGCATCTAAACGTAGCAAGCTTGTGTGCCCACCACCCAAGACACGCCGAATCGAGATACCATTTCCCGTTTGCAGGGGCCTGGAGATCCACACGAGGGCGCGCTCACGTTCCAGAAGCCGCGTTTGACCAAGAGGCCGCGGTACCTATCTGTCCAATACTGGATTCTAATAGGCGACCTCAACCCCTTAGTAACAGGCGGCAGCTAAGGTGTTTGCTAGTTTGTTTGTTCTAAGCAGCCATGAGGTGTGAGAAGTTGTATAGAGACAGAAAACGGAGCAACTAGCTTCACGAAACAGATCACCTTGTCGCTTTAAAGATAAAGCTGCTGCAAAAGAGTACCTTCGTATAACTTGATAGTTTGGAGGAGAGTTTTAAAAGATAAATGTATGCATTTTGAAATATATCATAGTCACTGCTAATTAGTTAAATTAGAGAAATCAGTTTTCTTGGTTTCAGTGTGGAGAGCCTCGTCTAGGGTTGGACACCCCTCACTTACATCCCCCTCCCCCTTAAAAAAAGAAAAACCTTCATCGGTTTTGCGGGCTCTCAGACCGACTGAGACGATTAAAAGGCTTTTGTTTATAACAGATCAGGGCTCGGGCAACTTAGCCGAATGTCTCTCAGAAAAAAAATAATAATAATAAGACGCATGGAGGACTGGGAGAGTCGTTCTGGGTTAGGGAGCCGGGGGCCGTGCCTGGCGTGCGCGGCTACCCGTGGCGACCGCGAGGCGCCGGCAGGACTGTGAGTTGGTGTGCCCAGGCCAGGCTGGGCTGATGCGGCCACGGGAGGCAGCAGGCACTCAGGGAAAAACGTTTATACTTCAAGGCGTTGTGGAACGGGGAATGTATTTGAAGCAAACGGATTTTGCGTTTGGCAGAACACTGGCCACCCTTCCAAATTGCACGCCGGTCTTGAGGAGCGGAGTTGAATTTTGGCTCTCAAAAATAGTGTATTTGTTGAGTGCCCTCCCTTCCGCAGCAAAGCCCCTGACCTTGGGGAGAGCCTGTGTCCCCTTCCGAAGTCAAAAAGAGAGGAGACAGGGCTCCTGAACATTGGCCTCTCGAAGGCAGGATGACTGCCCCCTTTCCCTCCCCGAAGTTCATTGTGAAGAGCCTCCAAACCCCAGAATTAGCGCCGGCCTCGTTGGCTCCCCGTGTGTCTTCCGCCCTCCAAGCCCTGGACCAAAGGCCCTGGGGCCTGCCGCTCGTCTGCCTCCCGGAGCTGGCATCAGCTTTGGCGGGGAGGCTGGGGCGCCAGTGAGCCCCCGGCGAGGCGCCAACGAGTGGCGTGGGTGTTTCCCGTGGGCAACCCTGGCTCCACTAGTCTGACCGCCGGTCCAGCTTGGCTATAGTGAGTAGACCTTACCGGAGTCTGAACCGGACCACGGTCTTTGTGAAGTGAGAACCGCCCTCCCCAAATGTCGTTGTGTTCCTCGTAAGGCGGCCCCAGCGGCTGCACATCTGGCTGTGCGGGGGCCCCTTGGCCTTGGCTGGCAGCCGCCTTCGGAAACACCGCTTGTCAGCGGTCTGCAGCTTCTTTCCTCCCTGCGCCCAAGATGGGCCTGACAAGGGCCGGGGATCAGACCAGGACCCCTGGGGGCTGAAGACCTCTCCCCACCCCCACCTTTCAAAATGTGTGGGTCTTGCAGACTGTGGCCTTGGATCCTGAGGCGCCAAGGTCTCAGACTCTGAAGTGGAAGGGAAATGCCCGAAGTAGGAGTCTTTTGTGTCTGTGCAGAAAGAGGCTTTCCGGCTGCCCGCCCTTGTCGCACGTCTGGTTAGACCCCTTATTACATTGATGGTAGACTCCCCATTTGCGCCCTCGATTTCCTTTCACCTTGGCCTGGAGGTGCACAGTGCAATCCGGAAAAGCACCCTGGGAAGACAGCTTTTAATTGACCCCATCCCCTCTGTCCCCAAAGAGTGGCACAGCCCAGAGGCAGCTCAGGACCCTAATCTGGGGTTACCCTAAGAGCCCACAGGTCCACTCAGGCCCAGGGCTTCAACTTTTCTTCCAGGAGACAAGAGTGCAGCTGCAAGCCACTTTTTGATTACAAATGCTAATTTCTTGCTCAAGCTATCCTTTTAATTTTTCCCTGGAAAGAACTGTGGCTGGGAGAAGGGCGTCTTGGTACAGATATGGGTATCCATCTCCTTTATGGTACAATATTGATTTATTATTAATGGTAACTGCTCCAACTGATCTAAAGATGATCGAAAACAGCAGCTACATTAAATACTCATAAGCAAAATAAAGGCTGGCCTTTAGAGCACTGCCTTTTTATTCCGTTTGTCTCATCTCAGCCTTTGAGTCTTAGGCACACTTTCCATCCTTTGGGGCCCAGATCATTCTTTTGTATTATTTCTATCTTGCTCAATTTTTTAGTAATACAGTCTCTCAAAACACTGGCAGTTCCTGGTCTCAAGGAGCGGGTCTGAAGGCAGAAATTTTAAAGAGAAAAAAAGTAGAATTTTGTAAGAACAGATTCAAAATTATTTTGTCTCTGAGTAAAAACCTATTTAACTTTAACCAATATGAGAGTGACTTTGAGCTCAAAGCCACTGAGAGCAGAAATGGGAAGGTCCCCAAATTCTGAAGACACATCCTGCCTATCCTGGCTCACTGCGGACCTATCCGCCCGCAAGGAATTGCTTGTTTTTAGCCTGGATGTTTTCTTCATATATAAATAAAGATTATGAAAGGGCATTTGATGGGCATAAAATTCCCGATTAGATTGAACAGTCTTGCCTTGCTTTGGGTAGGGAGAATTGGGCAAAGGAGTTCCCAAGGCAGCTCTCCTGGCGAAGAGGCAAAAGGGCGACACTCGACACTGCTGGAGCGCCAAGCTAGTGTCAGGGCGCCTGCCGCAAGCGAGTGCAGCGGGCACATTATCCAGACTTGGGCACGCTTAGCCCTGGCTTGGAACGAGATCTCCACCACGTGAGAAAGCAAATTTCAGGGCAGCGGTCAGTGGCTGTTAGCTTTGAACAGGACCTTAGCAACCTAGAGTCAAAAGTTATGGGTTTTTTTTTTTTTTTTTCTGCCTTCCTCAACCCCCACCCCCAAGCTTGAAAATAGCTACCCCTATGGAAAGGTAATGTTTAAACCTTGGGCTATGCTGGGTTGCCGCAGCCGAAGCTGTTAGAGGCGCCAGGCTTTTAACCTGACAATGATGTTGTATTTGAACAGCTGCGTAAAGGTTTAAAAGGTCTGTCTCATTGCCACCGAGGAGTTTTTTAAAAGAGGTTATTGTTTGGGCGAGGGCACTGAGAGGGAATAGGCGAAACGGTCCCAAGGCCGAAAATAATGTTCAACACTTGTTTCCACCAGGCCAGGGGAGA